GCCAGCCCCGAGGAGCCAGACACAGGCTGTGCTTTGCCAGCCCGACTCCGGTACGTCACCAGGGGAAACCTCGAGCGCCGGGGAAGGCTTTTCCCACCCCTGCTGCGCTGCTGGTGTCGGAAGGGAAAGGGTCCGTGTGAAAGTCGGCTGCGCTCCTCTGCTGGGACTTCAGACCCCCCATCACCGAAGGATGGGGAGAACAGAGGAAGCACCACAAAGCACAGAGCTGAAGGAAGAGCTCAGGGCAGCGGTGGAGCGTGGGAGACGCGTGCTGCGAGGCCAGTGAACATGGAAAGTGGGCTCGGAGCAACGCGCAGAAGAGGAAAGCCCACCCCTGACGTGCCATGGGAGAGAAGAGTCCGCCGAGCCGGACTGAGAGCAGTGGGTGTGCAGGGGAAAAGAAGGTTTTGTGACCAGAGCTGACCAGCTCCCCTCCAATACCTCATCGAGCACTTTTTTCCTGCCATCTATGGAGTGATAATTGTTAACACAGCCACTGGAAAAGCTCAGTGGAAATTAAACAAGCTTTTTTCCCTGCTGTTTGGTTATGGCTGGATGGCAGGAAATACAAAGCAAATCCTCTCCACTTGCCATCTTTTTAACATACCGTGGTCTAGTTCCTAAACTCGCTGTGACTCAGAGGAATTAAGTGCTAGCATCAAACAACTGAACGCTTCAACCACAAGCAGAGCAGAGCTCTTACTCTTCCGGTGCCCTTTGGAGCAGCAGCCCAGATATTTTGGTTCCAGCAGTCATCCAGGGATGGGATCTCTCGGGCATTTTTCAAATCTTGCTGATGCAGCTTCCCTGGGGAGCTCCTGGGGTGGGTGGGCAGACCTTACCGTCACAACCCACTGCAACAGCAGCAGCCCGCGGCTTCCCACCATCCCATCATTTTTCTCCAGAAATCCTTCTTTGAAATTAGTGAACGTTAAACATGCTACTGTCTCACAAAGCGACACAGATGACCGATTAGCTTGCTGCTGGTTGGAATAGTGTCTGATAAAATCCAGCTCATGGAAACCGAAACGCAGCCTACCCTTGCCTGAAACCGCGATGCCGTATTTATTCGTGTGTGTGGAGCACTGGTTGGGCTCCTGTTCCATTCTGTTGACAGCCAATGATAAAAAAACAGATAAAAACCAGGGAAAACAAAATTCTCGACTCAATTTTGTGCCACCTCTATTTGAAGTGTCCAAGGAAGGCCCTGGCGAAGACTGTAACAGGATGAAGAAAAAATGATATCTGCACAACAGGACTATATTTTTCCACTTAAAATAGCCACCACGTGCTGGCAGAAGGCTGGGGGATGCTGGGAGAAGGTGGCAGGGGATTTAAGCCAAGGTAGCTTACAGCATGGACACTGAATGATGACTCTCTGACTTCCCCCACCACCACCCCCCCCCAAAAAAAAAGTGGCGGCGGGGGGAGATGAGGGGTTATTCCGGAGCTGAGCTGGTTGTTTTACCATTGCAGCAGCACGAGGTAATTCTCTGCATGTTTCAAAACTGCCCTGCTGGCACTAATTTCGGGGTAGAAGAAAACAGCATCTCTTCTGTTAACAGAGGATTTCAGATCCCCCTCTGCGTGACCTTACAGTGGCTGAAACCGTTTCCTCACGTTCCAAGGACAAGCTCTGCCAGGGTAAAGTGAGAATCACCCAACAGAAAAAAAAAAAGAGAATTTTCTACGTGAACGGATTTCTACGTTTCTTTAGAATTCTGGTACAAGTTTAAGTTTCAGCAAGTTTTAGGGCCAAGCTTGTTTATTTTAGGCAGATTGAACTTCTGTTTTAAAACACAATCAGGTCCTTCTTGAAGGGGTGCTGGTGCTTACAACTGGGACTGTCACACTGGATCACGGACAAAGCTGTGGTTACAGCCTGTTACAACTCCTCACCCTACGTAATGCACATAAAGGCATCAGCCAGGATGCATCCTAGGAAAAACAAATGCAGAAATTTTCAAATAAGATCACCCTCCGTTCCTGCAGCTTGCAGGACTGGTAGGGATGTCTTTTTCACAGAAAATGATCCCAAAAGCACAAGTCCTCAAGTTCTCTTAAAATACAACTTGGTCTGATTGAACTCCCACTGGAATGAACAGCCATGTTTTTGCTGACTTTACACAGCTGGCAAAAGTCTGTGATAAAATAGTATTTTGAGCACCTATTCTGATACATTCCTTTTAATACGCTAGCACGGAATTTCTTGCCTATTTCTTCCAACCAAGCTGGCTGAAGAACTCTGCAATTGAGCTGTGCTGACGAAGGCTCCTGTAAATTACAGAGGTTTGCACAAGTACAGATGCCAGACCAGACGCTGCATCCCAAGATGTTTCCTGGGTCACTTGCCACCGCTGCCCACGTGGGAGATGGTAATTCAGTGAAGAAAAGACACCGCACGTGCCGAACGCACGGGGTTTCATCCAAAGCCCAAACTCCAAATTCTGTGAAAAGCAGTTTTCTGCATTTGTAGAAGTTTGGGAGGCTCTCGAGGACTGCGACAGCTGCTGTAGAGAGGAGTCACGGTTCTGGCTCTGCAGTTCCACCGTCACAGCAAAAGGGCTTGAGGGAAACAAGAGCCCATTCCTCTCCTGGGTGTTTAACAGGAAATGTGTGAATCCAGGCTCTGCCAAAACTATTTTCATGAAATGACCTTAAAGATCGACTAGTTTTTCTGCAGCTACATGCTCGCCAAGCATCATTGTCCAGAAACACTGCACCTCTTTGTCCGATCCGTCACACAGCGGCAGCGGTTTGTGCACAACTAAAAAGGACCGATTGTTTTCCCGTTTCTTCATTATTCAGCTGAGCCTCGTGAAAGCCTAAAAACCAAATCCTCCAGAGAAACTGGCACACGCTAAAGCCAATACCCAACTGCAAAACAACTATTCCAAATGCGTCCAAGGAGGTAAGTACTGGGCAGTGCTCATCTTCCTGCTTCTCTGTTCACGGAAACATGATTTTTATTGCCAAATCGGATGGATGCTGTTCACCAAAGCCTTGGCTCCACGCCTCCAGTGCCACCTGCCAGCAGGTTAAGGCAGAATCCTGCAGAGCAGTGAGCTCTATCGTCTATCAGGACCTGCAGATCTCGAGCAAACTCATGCAATTTGGAAAAGATTTTATCCCCAAAAGTAGACACACACTTCCATATAATATATATATATGAAGTCTGCAGCATCGATTACCAGAACTATGTGGTTGATTGATCGGAAGCTGTATTATAGTGTCTCCTGCTTACAAAAAACAAATATAAGCCTTTAGAAGCAAGCCACGAGGCCGTTTCTTTCCGATTTTTTGCTAATTGAGCAGTCTGCATGCATCCTCACCGAAGAGACACAGCAGCAATTTCCGTGGCTAATACAAAATAACTTAACCATGAAATAAGCAGAGGTGCTGCTTAAACATTTTATTCTCCACTTCCCTTCGTCCCAGCATTCTAGTTTACCTCTGACACTCGTTAATGTGCTTGGCATATTAAAAAAAGAATAAATCCATCTGTGAGCAGTGAGGTTTCTCATGACAAAGTCTCAAGACTTACTCTCTCAAAATGCTGCCTTGAAGGATTTTTTCCTAATAAACAACACCAGGAATTGCAACGCAGTTCAGAAAACAAGGTAAGGCTGCTGTGGATCTTCAGTTGTGGGTCTTAGG